TAACAATAGTAAATGATGTTTATTTGAAAGTGTAACAATGCAAACAGGTTTTCCGTAAGGGGTAGGGGATAGAAAATATCGTTTGGTCAGTATAAAAGTAATAGAAGTCCATGGAAAGTCCCCACAATTAACAGAAACAAACATCTGTGTGTGTGTGTGTGTGTGTGTGTGTGTGTGTGTGTGTGTCAATACTTGGATCAATATGAAAAAGTGTGGGAAACTTGGGATAAAGTGTAATTTGTGTGGGAAAGCTGGAAGTATCTTGCGTATACTTAGAAAACAGTATTCCAAATTGTCCCAGTTGGTGAATTTTAGTGAAACATATTTGATGGACTGACCTTTGGTGTTTTTGTTTCTTCAGCTAACCCTACAGGCCCCGGGGTGAAGAGCTATCCTGGTCAGTCAGAGGTTTTCCGTGAGTCCAGCAGTACCACAGGCATGGTGGTTGGCATCGTCACTGCTGCCGCACTTTGCATCCTCATTCTTCTCTACGCCATGTACAAATACCGCAACCGCGACGAAGGATCGTACCACGTGGATGAGAGCCGCAACAACATTTGCAATTCAGCCCAGTCAAATGGAACAGTTGTAAAGGAGAAACCAATGGATGGCACCAGTAGTGTCAGCAAGAGCAAGAAAAACAAAAACAAGGAGTATTATGTGTGATACTATTATTCCTGGTCCTTACAGGACCATCATTCTCATCCACAGTTCCCATAAAAGTCAAATATAAGACCTACTCATGTAAGATAACAAAGACTAAGAGATTATGGAAAAGCATTTAGTCATCATATATTAAACAGCGGTACAGTGGAAATCTTCGATATTTAATTCATGCACATTGGAATGGATAACAGAACTGGTGGAAAGATTACCTAATCCACCCAGACTCTTGCACTTTCTTGTGTAACAAATGCAAGAAGAAGGGAATGAAGAGTGAGTAATGGACTATTACAAAACGTCTTTCTGTTTTTTGTTTTGTTTTCCTGAAGCATCACTGAATAATGAGAGAATAGGACAGAACAAGTCTCTCAGACTTGATAAGTATTATAGAGCTAATATAAATTTGACAGCTGATGGTAAAAGGGAAAAGAAGATTATGGCATTATCTTTGGCAAACAAATGGCAGCAAAACAGTTGCGGATATCTCAGTGATAATGGATTCAATGTCTTATTTAATATGTTTCTATACAGTAAAACTACAACTGTGTGCTTTTTGGACTGTCACAAATTTGTGTTGTATGACCTGTTGCATTGAGGATGCAAACTTTATCTACTTGTTGTCAGAAAAGACCACAAAATAATCTTACGTATATTATAGCATTTATAGATATCAACAATGCCATTTTTTATTTGCAATGGGTTTTTTCATCATGTTACCTGCAAATTGTTTTCTGCAAATGAATGTTCAAACAGTTTGTAATATATGTGTGCACATACACATTTAGAGTCCATGTTTTAGAAGGTACTCTGAAAGACACACAAAACAATGAAGCCAGAACCTTCCAAAACCATATCACTTCCAATAAACTCACAAAATTCCCATGAGATGTATCTCAGCCTGCAGTGAGAGATGAGATGAATCCATGTTTATTTGTGCTTACACACCCTCAAAATGTAATCATAAATCAGATTAATTTATTAATTTCTGTCTTGAGAGTACGTGTCTGTGTCTCCCTCATTTCCTACTTTTAGAGCAAGAGACAGGAGAACTGATTTTGAGCTAAACAACAGAACCGATAAAATTCATTTGACTTATTTTTTAGATCTGTATTACTTTTTTATACAGTATTTTGTTTCTGAGACTTCCAAATTATATGTATTAAAATAGTTTTGAAACATTAATCAGGCAAATAAAATATTACCCAGAATGAATTATTTTCTCTAAAATCATTTATGAATATGTGCTGTCTTAGATAAATGCAAAATCTTTATTTATGCATGTATGTATGTAGTTGGTTAATTAGGTAGTGTGTTACATACCTACAACACCACAATATTTTATATAATACCACTATGATTCTTATACAGAATATGCAAATCTTGTAAAATGAAATGTCGTTTAAGGTCCAGCAGAGGGTTGTACTCTGTGCTTTCAGCTCTTCTGTGTGGCGCTGGCGTGGTGTTGTGTCTCGGCTGTCTCTGGCTGCGTTGTCTTCACAGTTTGACAGTCAGTGGGCAGCATCCTCTCAGCTGCTTCAGATGGCTGATTTACTGGTTCCTGTATGTAGAGCTTTCCATCAGCTTATTTTTGTTTTCTTTGCGCTCAAAAAGTATTCTCGTAGCTTCGCAAATCTGAAGTTGAGCCACTGATGTCACATGGACTGTTTTATCGATGTCCTTGCTACGTTTCTGGACCTGGGAACATTACAGTTGCATTGCTGTCTATGCAGGGTCTGAGAGCGCTCACATTTCATCAAAAATATCTTAATTTGTGATCCGAAGATGAACAAAGGTCTTATGGGTTTGGAACAATTAATGACAGAATTTTCATTTTTGGGTGAACTATCCCTTTAAATTTTACTGTCTGTCCATATAACTACATCACATGGCTTCGGAAGATTTGGAATGCAACAGGAGATGTCTGTAATACTTTTATACTGTTTGTGGTCAATTTTTGCAATAAATACATGTGCCAGTACTTACATTTGCTTGTGTTTTATATCATTGAGAAGTGGGTAGGTTTAGGTTTAGGGTAAGGACTGGTGTTAGGTGCTCCAAAATAATAAATATAAAATAATTTCTAGTTCTACAAATGCGAAGATTTAAACACTGAAGGGGTACCCTGCACCGAGACAATCCTTATTGAAATACAATACACTGAAAGTTGTGCTGAGTGACACACAAAAAAGGGAAATTCATGTCCATGAACACGAATCAATAGATTAAAATTCCGTGACTATGTAATTTGACATTTTTTTATTTATTTTTATTAATAGCCTATAACATGTTAAATTCAAATAAACACAAAAACACAATCAATTGTTGTGTAACTTTTTTGTAATTACAGTGTACCTATTCAGTACCTCCATGTAGGTATAAGGGAACCATATGCGAAGTTTGGGGAATAAAGGAGTAAAAATCAGTACAATGTAATTATTTCTATAATATAACTATAAATATAACAAATTATTTCTACTGTATTTTGAAACTAAGGGGTACCTATTCTAATATTACGTGGTATGTATGAACTAACAACAATCTTATATTTCCAAGCAATTTAGCAAAAACATACACTGTGTACGTTTTTATAACCTACACATATAAAACACGCTGGTAATTGTTTCAATCCAAACGCTCGGTTGAGACTG